TTCTGAGCCAGGTGCTTTCCAGTTCTTTGCTGTCAGTGAAATTGAGTGAGAACCAAATCAGGCTGCCAAATGATACAACATCCAAAACAATTTTCTATGATAGATCATTATGCGATTTTTGGTGAATTTGGTGCAACTTGGGAAAGTTCATAGAAGTAAGAAACTCTGCTCTTAAAAATCTTCTATTCCTATCTATTTACCTCAGCAAAGTTGCTCAGAGCCTACATCTATAACAGAAAATAAGGATAGAATTGATGCTGAATCTTGCCTCCACCAGGTAATAAGTAACATTCATCCATGGCTAACTGATAACAAATTAAGCCCCATCGACCTTATTGAACTGCCTTTGCAATCAAATTTCACTTTTTATATATAATAATTATTTATAAAAATCTCTTATATTTATGTTGCTTTGGTTAAGTATATACTAATAATTGCTGTCATAACTTAAAGCAGAAGAAAATTTTAACTCTTAGAGCCTTACTTTCATAAAAAATTTTGAAACATGAGTATTTCAATTTGTACACATATTTTTATTGTGGAAAAATATGGTTGGGAGAGCAGTAGAAGACTTCGAATAAAAAATATGTTAACAGAGATTTTATTAACTAAATGGAATGGAAATATAAGATAAATGAGAAACATAACTAGATAAAATTTTGGTCTGTCAAGGAAGAGTTTGAGTAATTTTAAACTGGAGGGCTTCCCTAGTGGCTCAGTGGTTAAGAATCCGCCTGCCAATGCAGGGGACACGGGTTCTTGCCCTGGTCCGGGAAGATCCCATGTGCCGTGGAGCAACTACGCCCGTGCACCACAACTACTGAAGCCCGCGCGCCTGGAGCCTGTGCTCCACAACAAGAGAAGCCACCGCAGTGAGAACCCCACGTGCACCGCAACAAAGAGCAGCCCCCGCTCGCCGCAACTAGGGAAAGCCCGAACACAGCAACGAAGACCCAACGCAGCCAAAAATAATTTTAAAAAAATAAATAAATAAAGGGGATAATAGCATGTATCAAATTACTATGATATTTAGATTCCATTGGATACATGTTGAAAAGTGAAGTAACAATTTTATTTTTAAATGATATTTATAATAACCAGACATGAAATTCTTTGCAAGTATCAGTTTGAACTATATGAAATTGTTAATATTCAACCGTTTTCAACCTACAAATATGGCAGATTCATATGGCTCAAATTAGTATTTAAACTTATGCTATAATAACCTAAATGAGAAAAGAACTTGAAAAAGAATAGATACATGTATACGTATAACTGAATCACTTTGCTGTACACCTGAAACTAACAAAACATTGTTAATCAACTATATTCCAATATAAAATAAAAATTTTTTAAATAAATAAAATATATATATACATAAATTTTTTTAATAAACTTATGATAAAAAATTTAGATGACAACTTAAAATGTGGAAAGAGATACATAAGTTTTTCAAAATTACCTTAGGGAACACATGAGTGCACAAGAAGTTCAAAGATCATTGTCCTAGGAAAAAAAATCTGCACATATGTACAGGAGACATATAAAAGAAAGTTATGGTAATAGTGTTTGCAAGAACAAAAAATTTGAAAAATCCAATAACAAGAGAATAAATAAATAAATTGGGATATTTTCATGCCAGATTTTTATATAGCAGGAAAAATGAAGGAATTAGAGGTATACACATAAATATAAATGAAGCTTATAAGTATTTGGTGAAAGATTTATAATATTTGGTGAAAGAAGTAAGTTACAGAAGGAGACTTACAGAGTGATGATGCTTATAACATTTTAAATATGCAATATAATACTATATTTTACTTAAGGATGCAAACAGAAATAGTAAAAGTATAAAGACTAGAGGGATAAATAAACACCATATTCAGTCTGGTTTTAACCTGGTAGGGAGGAGGCCTGTGATTAGAGAGGAGAGCTCCAACTATATCTGAAATGTTTTATCATTTTAACTGGGTGTGAATACAGAGATGTTTATCATATTTTCCTTTATAGTTTTTAACATATTTTAAATATTGCAAAATAAACGTTCATAATGTTTTTAAAGGGGCCTGCATATATTTAACACTAGAAAAACATTCGTGAGGCTCCAGGTATAAGATAAAGGAAAAAAAAATATTTCAGACAAAGAAGAATAGCTAATGTCCCACTTATTGAATATTTAGTCTCCAAAGGTCATCTTTGGGGGTAGGGGTATAGAGGGATAGTTAAAGCAGCATAGGGATGAAAAAGAACTGGGTGTTTTTAAGTTAGGGATCTTTTTATCACTGTGTATACAAGTGAGGTCTGAATGAAAATGTGAACTTTGATCCCTTTTCCAAATTGATGCTGGGTCCAAAGTTTTGTGCCGTGAAATAGTAATGTGGCCTTGATTGGCAAATCTGAAAACACAGATTTGCTGAGTGAGGATTCAAAATTTCCCCTTTGCTCTAATTATTCAGTTCCCTTCTTGCTGAATGGCAAGTCCTTTTTTGCCCCCCCTCTCTCTCTTTCAGATACATCCATCAATAGAAAAGATTAAAATATTTGTTGGGAGGGTCTTCCCTTTAGTAAAATGTGCCCCTTTTATAGCACATTGCATTTCGTTGTTAAAGATGCCGTATAGAGGGCTTCCCTGGTGGCGCAGTGGTCGGGGGTCTGCCTGCCGATGCAGGGGACGCGGGTTCGTGCCCCGGCCCGGGAGGATCCCACGTGCCGCGGAGCGGCTGGGCCCGTGAGCCGTGGCCGCTGAGCCTGCGCGTCCGGAGCCTGTGCTCCGCAACGGGAGAGGCCACAGCAGTGGGAGGCCGGCGTACCGAAAAAAAAAAAAAAAAAAGATGCCGTATAGAGTTCTATCCCTCTGAATTAAGTTGTATAATTCTTTTTATATAAAGTTGTTCAGAATCCCCACAGTGCAGATTGTCAAGTGGACAATAAGGTAACTGTAGATGGAATGGGGTTCAGCAGAGGCAGAAGCCAGACTGCAGTAGGGTAAGGAGGGGACGGGAGATGACGCATGGAAACAAGCAAGATGAGACTTCTCTTTACAGAAGTTCAACTGTTAAAAAAAAAAAAGAGAGAGATTTACTTGAAAGGGCTAGAGGGTCAAAGGAGTTTTTAATTTGTTTATTTGTAGTATTATATACATTTTAACTCCATTTATACAAGGTTTCACAAGTATGCAAAAACAATATTATATGTTGTTTATGGGTCCAAACATACGTAGTAGATGTCTAAAGGACGTGCCAAGGAATAATAAGCTCCAAATTTAGGTGAGTAGTTAGATATGGGAATGCAGGGCAACAGACCTGGAGGACACAGGGGACTTCAACTATTATTTCTAATATTTTCTTAAGCTGAGTAGTGGCTGAACAGATTTTTTTTTATTTTGACATTTTAAAATATTAATAATAATGCTTTTACTTTTATAAAATAAGTGAGGGGATTATTTCAAAAAATAAACAAAATTTATAGAAAGATCAAATTTTATTTAAAGTAGAAATAGGAAACTGGAAAGTCAAGTCTTTGCTTAGAAATTTCAGAAAAAAAGAAAAAAATAGAGGGATAGCAGAGAAGATATCAACAGAACCCCAGCTGTCATTTACAATATGTAAGTAAATAATCTAGTGTTGCTTAACTCCAACCAAAAAGGGACAGAGACTGGAATATAACTGTTTAAAAAAAGAAATCAAGAGGAATGCAACAGAAGGGAAATTGTGCAAGCAGAAGGGAAAGTTTCCCAGTATGCCTAAACGACTTCCCTTACTATAATTGCAAAAGGTGGTTATATGGACCTAATCTGGAAGTCTGTATGTGTGGTTCTTTTCATCTGCCCTGAGGATGGTAGAGACGTCCCTCCAAGTATGGGCGGAGGAGGAAGGAGACAGAGGTGGAGCTTTGGATTGTATATAAATGTGAGTGTTTGCCCAACTGTGTGTCCTAGAATTTCTTGATTACCCTGAATATCTGGTGTTTCTTCCTGCCAAGCAGGCTACTGTTGAGGTCCAATCAGCCAGTGTGGTCTGATCTGCATTGCCTTACTTGCTCTTCCCATCAGCGGCCATACATGGAAGTGGCCCTGGAATGAAGGATAACAGAGTTCATTTTCCTAATGACATTTCCATCCGGCTGTTGACGGTCATCATTGTGGCAACCTGTTATCTCTTTGGCTCTCCCAGCGCCCTCGTACCACTAGAAAGGGCCGAGATGGCGACAAGAAGGAACTAAAGGGGCTTCCCTTGGTGGCGCAGTGGTTGGGAATCCGCCTGCCAATGCAGCGGACGTGGGTTGGTTCCCTGGTCCGAGAAGATCCCACATGACGCGGAGCAGCTAGGCCCGTGCACCACAACTACTGAGCCTGTGCTCTGGAGCCCATGAGCCACAACTACTGAGCCTGCATGCCACAACTACTGAAGCCTGTGTGCCTAGAGCCCATGCTGCACAACAAGGGAAGCCACTGCAATGAGAAGCCCGCGCACCACAACGAAGAGTAGCCCCCTCTCGCTGCAACTAGAGAAAGCCCGCGCGCAGCAACGAAGACCCAACACAGCCAAAAATAAATAAAATAAAAAGAAGGAACTAAAGCAAGATGTTCAACAGCACTAAACAGATATTTCAACAACCAATTAATCACCCTACCTACCCCACCTCTTCCCATCCCCCAGAGGTACACACTTGCAACACTACTTCTAGCACTTTATTCCAGTATTTACCTCTATATTTCTTTTCTTTTCTTTTCTTTGGCCTGCGCCATGCAGCACGTGGGATCTTAGTTCCCCGACCAGGGGTGGAACGCGTGCCCCCTGCAGTGGAAGGGTGGAGTCCTAACCACTGGACCACCAGGGAATTCCCCATATTTCTAAGTAAAATAAACTGCGATTTTGCGACTTCCCAAGTTTATAAAATATGTCTTGACTTCCTATCATAAAAGATGAGCATGCAGCCCTCTTACACAAATCCTACCACATCACTGCCAGCCATTTCTCCTTTCCCTCCCCAGGTCTTCTCAACATTTTACATATCAACGTTCTAACTGGTGATCATACATCGACCCGCTGGGTGGGTGGATCATCCCTAAGGACATGAAAGCTCTTCGTCTGGGAGCCTCCAGACCTCCTCCTGTGCGTCTCTTCATTTGGCTGGGCCTGGTTTGTATCCTTTATGATCCACTGTAATTAATCGTAAGTATAGCACTTTCCTGAGTTCTGTGATTCATTCTAGTGGATTCTCGTACTTGAGGGAGTCGTGGGAACTCCCAGACTTGTAGCCAGCTGATCAGAAGTGAGGGTAACCTGGGGACCCCCAAGCTTGTGGCTGGTATCCTTAGTAGCTAGTGGGAACCCCAGGATTTGTAGCCAGTCAGGAGTGTGGGAGGGTTTGGAGTCCCTGAACTTGCAACTAGTGACTGAAGCGAGGTCGGGCTCAAGGGGAATGTGCCTTTATCTGGTGAAATTTGATCTAACTCTGGTAGTTAGGCTTAGAATTGTATTGTGCGTGGATAAATACAAAAGACCATTCTTCTCCCTCTTGATTTCTTTAGAATTCCTATGGCTTTTTAATGCACAATTTACAACATTGTCAGATGGTGTCAGGACTGAATTGTATCCTCTCAAATTCATATTTTGTAGCTCTAACCCCCAAAGTGTCTGCATTTGGAGATAAGATTCTTAGGAGATAATTAATGTTAAATGAGGTCGTAAGGGGTGGTGGTGGTCCATTTTTAAAAACTAAAAGACACTAATTATTCTCTAAAACGAGTGGCTGTTCGTCAGCATGACTTATACGAAGTAAGCTTTTCTGATAGCAGAAAGATGCTCAGGGTCTAAATTTTTTCTCTTTCATTTCCCCGCCCGCCCCCCCAGAAAAGTGACAATAAAAGATTTAATGTACATGGTCATTTGTCCTGGGTCACATGAGATTTGGCAGCAACTAAGGTGGCCATTCCATGATTGAGATTTAGAAAATCACCAGCAAGAGGCAGAAAGCCCCAGAACACTGACCCTGAGATGTGCCTTTGGGGCACTGAAGCAGTGACCATCTGGAGACAAAGAGGAGAGCTGGGATTGCCGATTGCATGGGGATGGGTAGGGGGAGAAGGTGAGGAGGTGCTTTGACCAGGAAAAGAGCTGAGAATGTGTGGAAACAGACCTCCGAAGGAATGGAAGGGAAAAATACTTGGGACCACAATTGCAGACAGAATGCGATGAAGTTGCTGTTTCTTGCCCATGAGTTTAATGACAAGGTTCCCCCCCTTTGGATGCCAACTAAGCAGGAGCCGGCCGGGCATCCCCTGACTTTGCAGCCCAGCCAGGCCTGGAATCTGCCCCAAACACAATCACAGATATTCCCAAGGCTTGAAGTCCATCCAGAGACTAGTCATTTGATGCAATTGTCTGTGGTCTGAAAAACAAACTCCCACCCAAACATATTGTACCTGGGGAGACTGCAATCTCAATGATCATGTCTCCCAGGACTCAGGCCCACTCTGACCACAGGATCTTTCTAAAGGCATGACCGACAGCAGTGTGCACAATTCCACCATGTAATTTTTGTCTGGGAGGTAAAATACGTGTGTCGTTACATCATTTTCCTTAGCGTAGCAATCCCTTAAGAGAAGAAAGCCTGACCAAGATCCCTTCTCAAAGTCAACCATGGAAATAACCTTTTAATATTCTCTCCTGTCTTCCGTGGCCTCGTACAGCTTTCACACACAATTTCTCATTTTATCCTCAAAACAACGCATCGAGGTATGTACTATTACTCCTGCTTCCTGGGCCAGCCTAGAATTTCTGCTTCCCCCTTTCCATCCTCCCGTTGGAAGGTCACACTGGGCAACTCAGCCAAGTCACGTCGGAGGGATTAGTTCCCTGTGACACCCCTTCCCCCACTCCCCTGACCCACAGGCCGGACACAAAAGAGGCTGCCGGAAACTCCTGACCGCTGCCAAGCCGGTAGCCGCAGTGCCCTGGAGAGGAATTCTCAGCTCACAACAGAGCATTTCTCATCAGTTTTTTTATGGGTTTGGGGTTGGGGAGGGGTTGGTGACCAGCCAAAGATGGGTGGCAGAATGATGAAATCAGGCAAGCCCGCAGCACTGATTCATGTCACGGTGGGAACGGGGACAGGCTTTTGTGCCAACCAGAATGTGCCTTGGTTACACACTCCAGTTAAAAATAGTGATGGCTCAGGATCGGCCATGGTGGTCCAAAAGAAATTTTCCTTCGTCTGTAATATTCTAACTGCTTTCAAAGCAAACATATTTCTGCATTAGTTACAGAATATAAGTTATCTTTAAAATTCAGAAGGAAATGACCTCCGCTGCTGTTTGGAGGGCCCTCGGGTTCTGGGGTGGGGTGGGGTGGAGGTGAGGGTGCAGGGAGATTTCTAACTTCTGCTCTGATTATCTCAGACCCGCACTGTGCACACCCGTTCAGCTCAGCCAGCGTTTACCTGCCCACTACTGCACAGCCCAGGGCTTCACGGCCTACCAGGCACAAGCACATGGGACCCTCTGGAAGAAGGTGATGAATCAGAAAGAGTCTGATGAAAGAGGTGATGAATCTCAAATCACCTACACCCGTGGTTGGCTGAGGGCAAGTTGGGGCAACAGACAGACAAGCAGCCAACCATAACCAGAGACAGAGGAGGGAAGTCCTGTATCAGTCATAATGTCAGAGTTGGCCTTGAAGAACTTGTGGAATTTTGAGATGTAAGGAAGGGATGGTGCAGGGGTGGGCCAGCCCAGGAAGAGGAAACATCTTGGAAGACAATTAGGATGTAGATGAAAAAACTCATGGTCATTTCCAATTCCACCGCCATAGCCCCCATCACTGATCCTTGTGCCCCTGGAACATCTCACCTGTGCAGCCCTCTTTGACATCTCTACCACCGCCTCCATTCTGGGGGATCTCAGCAGGAGACAATGTGTGTGAAAGCACAGTTTTTTCCACTGTTGTTGCTATTCATAAAACTGCCTGGAGATAGACAGAAGTGGGAAGCAAAGGTCAGAGGGATTAAAGAATTTGCCCAGGGCTTCCCTGGTGGCGCAGTGGTTGAGAGTCCGCCTGCCGATGCAGGGGACGCGGGTTCGTGCCCCGGTCCGGGAAGATCCCACATGCCGCGGAGCAGCTGGGCCCGTGACCCATGGCCGCTGAGCCTGCGCGTCCAGAGCCTGTGCTCCACAACGGGAGAGGCCACAACAGCGAGAGGCCCGCGTAACGCAAAAAAAAAAAAAAAGAATTTGCCCAGCTGGTGAGGAAGGGAATCAGGAAGCTAACCCAGGTCACCCCCATCCCCACCAGCTGTCAAATAAGGTAGATGGTGTCTGGCTTGGGTTTATAGACCCCTAAGTGAGATCACCCTGGTTTCAATCCCAGTTCTGACATCACTGTGTGACCTTGAGCAAAGTACTTAACCTCTCTGTGCCTCCATTTCCATAGGTACAGAATGGGGTAATAATGCTTACACCAGAGCCATCGGGCAGATTAAAATGGATCCTGCCTGTAAAATGTTTCGCATTCATTCGCCGCTGTGATCTCCTATCACTGATAGTTGTTGTCCCCACCCCCTGTCTCTCATTCGGTACCTGAATTTTGGAGGCTAGTAGTTGGCTGGAGACCACGTCTGAACCTTTTCCTTAATCCCACTGCCCTCCTCAGAAAAGCTGCTCTCACTCCATTTGCAGACTTCACAAGAATTCTCTCAGCCCGCTTGTGCCATCACTCAGTATGGTGCTTTGGAATCCTTCTGTTAGCACAGCTGTGTCTGGGGTCTGGGAAAGCTCTGAGGACCCCGGGGGTGGGAGATGCACATGAGAGAGGGTCTCTCGAGCAAGTGGAGGTGGGGGGTATGTAAGCAGCCTCCCATCCTGTTCCCACATCCCAGAAGAGCACTCTGTCTGGCAGGCCGGCACCCCTTCTCTTCCTGTGTGCTACCCAGGGCTGGCCCAGACGAAGAGCTTGTCTGCACCTTGGCTTAGATGGGCTTTCTTGCAAGCTCACCCGCAGGGGAACATGAGAGCTGCATGCTCACTGAATCCTAGACCCTCCCGGCCTCACTGCTACGGCCAGGTCCCCTCCATCCCTGACAGGTTCATCCAGGGACTGGGTCGTAACCAGGAGGAAGTTCGGGGCCTCCTGGGACTTCCACCCACAGATCCCAGCTCTCCTCCTGCAGAAACCCAGCCCCGTCTTTCTTCCTTGGTGGGTCCCACACTTCTGGAATCTTGAGTGAAGCTCATGTGCCCCATCCTCTTATTGTTCATATGAGAAGGCAAAGGGCCAAGGCTAGAACTGAGAACCAGCCCTTTCCCCCTGCATCAGTGGCTCCCAACTTCTTTCCACGTTAGAATCACCTGGGACCTTTCAAAAACTCCAAAGTCACAGCCACATGCCAGACCAGGGAAATCACGCTCTCTGGAGTTGGGCAGGTAAGTTTCCCAAGTGATTCCAATATGTGGACAAGTTTTGGAGCTACTGTCCTTGCAGCCCCAAGAATCCCGATAAATGGCCACACGTCAGGCTAAGTGCCCTGAGTTAGGATTACCCATTACCTCAGCGGTCCCGTTTCGATTGCTGACCTTCTGAGATAGGTCAGAAGGAGGGACGTACTCATGTATTAGTGAGAAGCTGCTACACACTGAGCCAGTACTGTAGAGTTATGTAGTCGGCATGCTCACTAAAGTTTAAATAAATTAATATGCTTAGACAAATGTGCAAAGCCACAATCAAAATTCTCCAATTATTCACTAATATCTTAATCGTGTTTATAAAAAATAAAGGTGAATATTGAAGCTAATTAAATCTCCTTAAAAATGCCAAGGTGAAGTGTATAAAATCCAAATGTCTCTGACGGGGTTGCAATTATTTGCAAATTTTTCAGTTCCCACTGAGTGATTAGATACACTGTTTTATCATTTTTATTTATCTAACTAATTACATCCTGCTTCTCCCTGTGAAAAGAACACAAGTAGACAAACAACTGTTCTATATTCACTTGATCCAATTATGTGTATAATTTTGGACATGTGTTGCCTTTAGCAGAGTTTGATTTCTTTGAATCTCAAATTTTGGGGTCAATTAGTCCAGTCATTTATAACTGTCTGGGTCCTGGACTCCTTTTGAGTCCACGTACTCTGATGAAAGCAATTTTTCACACAGTTTCTGGGAGCACCTGGACTCCCAAAGTCCCCCAGGTCCCCAGCTGAGTCCAGAAAAATGAGGAAACAAGCCCAGAGGCTAAAGTGACTCAAGCCGCCAGTCAGTTCCACTCTCAGGATTGGAACTCCCATCTCCCGACCCTCTGGCCATTCTGGGAGAGACAAGCCTAGGGCCTCCTTGCCTGGGTTCAAAGCCTGATTCTTCTGCCTGTTGGCTGGCGATGTGTGCAAGTTATATCACCCCTCAGTGCAGTGGTTTCTGTGTCTGAAGACTTCCTCATTTGCCTGCCCGCTTGTTGTGTTTGCTGTAATTATTTACAAGCGAGAAAAGAGGCGCTCGGGGGATAGGCAGTTGCCCTAGGTCACCAAGCTGCTAAGCGATGTGGCTCCAAAGCCTGCAGTCTTGGCACATACCACGCTGCATCCCCAATTTCTCCCGGCCCTGACCGGGACCGGAGTAGGATGCAGGAAGTCCAGGAGCCACTCTCAGGGAACAACCTTCACGTTCAACAGGGCACGCCAGCTCTCTCCCCGGCAGAGAAAGGACCAGCAAGAGGACCAGGAAGGAGAGGGAGGTCAGTGTTTTACGCAAGGGGATGGAGAGACATGCATGAGTGAGGCCAGCCTGGGTGAGGGGAGGGGCTGCTGCCCAGGGGGAGGCCTGGCCTCTGGCTCCCACCCCAGGGGTCGTAGAAACAGCTGGTGGCAGCAGCACAGGCCGAGGGAGGCGGCAGGGGCTGGCTGGGCTGGCCGAGCTACAGAGGGGCTTCCTGGAGTGTCCAGCCACAGGTACCTTGGAGCAGCCCTGGGCTGAGAAATCTGAAAACCCCTCCCTTCCTGGGCTGTGGGCTGGGTTGTTGGAACACTTTCAGTTTTGTTTCTCTGCCCGCAAGAACCGAAACTCCTCGAAACAGAAAGACTCCGCAGACCAGAACATGGAGGGAAACTTCCAGGCGTGCAGGAACTGGTAAGAAGTTGCTTTCCCGGCGGCCGACCTGAGGCTGGCTAGTGAGAGGGGCAGACAGGATAAGGCTGTTTCTGAAGTTAAGAGGAAAGGGCCCTTGTACCCAGGAGGGCTAGGGTGGAAGATTTAAACTCAGGAGATGTAGGGAGATGATGAGAGATGGTCGGGGTTGGCTAACATCCCACCCCAGATATTTCAGTCTTTCTGGGACAGTTCTAAAGCCAAACAGCCAGGCTAACTGTCCCTGCTGGGCTATTCATATTTTTCAGAGCTTGGGTCCTAACTTGGAGTTCTGATCATATGCTCTTCGCACCAGTCTTAGACAGAAAGGGGCCCACGGAGGTTGTCCGGGACCACACCCGCCCTCACCTTGAGAGGGCGCTGTGGAGCAGGGTGAGGGGATAGAGCAGGGGTCCCAGACCACACCTCTAACTCAGGGAGACCTGGCCCCTTGAAGTACCTCACTCTCGAAGCTCCCTACCTGTGGTGGGAACCAGGGGGATCCCTCCCAGAGAGCTTTCTCCAGGCAGACCCTCCTGGCTGAACCAGCTCAGGAAGAAGAGCTGAAGGGCCAGGCCGGACAGAAGGAGAAAGGGGCCAGGCCGGGCAGAGGGGCAAGAATAGAGGAAGGGTGTGGGAAGCAGCTTTTGTGCCACCTGCTTGGGCTGTGCAGAAGCCAGCCCTTGTTCAGACCAAGCAGAGTGAGCCTCTGGCTACTCCCCTCTGGCCACATCCCATGTGCCCAGGACATGGGCGGGCAACTCTCATCATCGTTTAGGCCTTTAGAGCTATGGCCACTACGTGTCCTCTCTCCCAAGCTGCCACAAGCAAGAGCTGGTTGAAATGAAAGGAGGAGTATTAAGAAACACCCTGCCTGGGGACTGGGAGGGTCAGAAGCTTGTGTTTTTTGGGGTCTCCAAGAAGGGTCTCAACCTCTCTGTGGGTTGCACAGGTGAGCCTTAAGGCAGGGAAAGGTAGATGGCTTCTCGTTCTGGGAGACCTGGGAAGCTCTCCCTATGGGGATTCTGAAAGTTGGCATTGCCCTTGCAAGGCTCTGAGTGGGCATGCAGGCCTGGATTTCCAACTGGCTGTGGGCCAAGCAGGGGAGTGCTTGAAAATAGACAAAATATTTGAAAGAATTTGATGTTTGTTATTTCATTTTAAAAACAGCTTTACCAAGGTATAATTGACATAAACTGCATTTATGGTACATTTTAAAAAATATTTATTTTATTTATTTATTTGGTTGCACCAGGTCTTAGTCGAGGCAGGTGGCCTCCTTAGTTGCCGCTCACCGGCTCCTTAGTTGTGGCATGTGAACTCTTAGTTGTGGCATGCATGTGAGATCTAGTTCCCTGACCAGGGGTTGAACCAGGGCCTTCTGCATTGAGAGTGCCGAGTCTTAACCACTGCGCCACCAAGGAACTCCCTGTGGTACACTTTTAAAGTGTGCCATTTGACATGTTTGACATAGATATATACCCATGAAACCATCACCATGGCTACTAAAATTCAATAAACTATCAAGTTAGGAAGAACAAAAGGGAATTTTATTCAAGCCACACTGAGAATGATGACCCAGGAAGCAGATTCTCAGAAAGCTCTGAGAACTGTCCCACCAGTTAAAAGTCGAAGGCACAGTCATATACATTTTTGAGACAAAGGATCATACATCAAAATGACATACTGGGGCTTCCCTGGTGGCGCAGTGGTTGAGAGTCCGCCTGCCGACGCAGGGGACACGGGTTCGTGCCCCGGTCCGGGAAGATCCCACATGCCGCGGAGCGGCTGGGCCCGTGAGCCATGGCCGCTGAGCCTGCGCGTCCGGAGCCTGTGCTCCGCAACGGGAGAGGCCACAGCAGTGAGAGGCCCGCGTACTGCAAAAAAAAAAAAAAAGAGACATACTGATATTTCACAAAAAAATTCACCAAGGATACATAGTCCAAGTAACCACGTACAAAGTGTACCAAGCAAACAGCGAGTCACTGTCACTAGGACCCCCTACAGAGCTGTGGAAGAGCCCTATTCTTTTATGAAGTTACATTGCTAGCTTCAGGAGAAAGAAAGAAAAAATTGATCTTTACCATCGAGCAGGCACTCCCATCTTTGAGGAGCTCTGGTTAATGTGTAATACAGATGCACACTGTACATTAGGGAGGGAGGAGGCCCAAACAAACACAGAGAGAATTTTATGTTTAATTTTTTCTTGTCCTGCCTTAAAATATAAATTATATTTCATCAAATCACAATCAAGATGATGAACGTATCCATTCCTCCCAAAAGTTTCCTCCGGCCGCTTTGTAATGTCTGCCTCCCGCCCCTCCTTGCCCGCCCCCTCTCACCCCAGGCAGTAGAAGAGTTTACAGAGCATCCTTACACTTATTTTATGATTTTGCATTGTTCTGATCTAGGACCATCATGGGGAAGGGGGGCAGGTGCTATCGTCATCATATTTTCAGTGCTTGAGGCCTTGAAAGGTCTTAATCCAGCAGCCGTGGAGACGAAATACGGCTCCATGCTTTATACCATGAAATAAGCCTGTTTTTCCTCCCTCTTGATCCTGCAGCAAAAGAAGCGGGGCCCCTGGCCACTTGGCCCTCCATGGGGCCCACTGTCTGCTCTTCAAGGTCCTCTGTCCGGAGTGCAAGGAACCCGTCCTACAGGATACGATGGAAGAACACGGCGGGGGCGGGCACCAGCAGGTGGGGAGGCGGAAGCAGGGATGGGGGTGGGGGCACCAGGTGGCCAGCCGGAGCCCGGCCCGCACTGCAGCCCGTCTCAGGTGGGCACCCTGCGCCCAGCACCCCCTGTGAAGTGGAAAGGGTAGTTAAATCTGCCTTTCTTATACTGCACTGAGTCAACCCTGGTTTTCCCATCCCCTATCCTTTCCCTACAGGCGAATGGGTTCAGCCAAGGCAAGGGAGTCCCTGTTTCAGGAAAGGTAAAATGTTCTTTCGAGATGTGTCAAGAGGAGAGACAGGAAAGGACAGCTCTAGAAGGCACTCATGGCCAAGGCTGGTCAAAGGTTAACCTTTCTCTCCTGCTGTTTCTGGAGATCCTCAAGCTCAGGCATCCATTTCAACTCAGCGGGTCCCACAGATGCTCCTTGAGCACAGGGCTGGTGCTGCAGGGAGACGAGGGAACCTGACTCCTGCCCCCAGGCGCTCACAGACCCGCACCTGACACACACAGCTGGGGCCGCTGAGCTGGGTGGGACTCCAGCGTCTCCCTCCGTGTTTAGGTGGGGTGCGCAGTGTGTCAGCAGAGCCTGCCGAAACACTTGCTGGAGATTCACGAGGTGAGAGTCAGCTGTGATTTCTTCTCCCAAGCCCAGGAGGAGGGGAAGGGGCCAGTAATAAAGATTTCCCCCCCTCCCCCTCCCCCAGCTCTCTCTTCTCACCCAAGGAGGCCTGGGGCACAATGGGGAACTAGCTCATCACAGGGCCTCCTGCCCCCAGATGCCCGTCAGAAGGGCCTGCCATGGTCCGCAAGCCCAAGAGAGCTCGTGTTTGCCAAGGAGAGTCCCCCCACCCCCTGGCCTTTCCCACCTGCTTTCTCTTACTGGCTTCAGTCCCCCAGGGAAATAAGCTCATATCCCCAACGCAACTGCAGTCACTGCAGGCCAGTGATCATGCCCGTCCCCCCTGCTTCCCCGCAGGCCAAGGAATGCCAGGAGCGCCCCGTTGAGTGCCAGTTCTGTGAGCTGGCCGTACGCCTCAACAAGGTGGACATCCACGAGCACCCCTGCGGCAGGCGGACGGAGGTCTGCCCAGACTGCGGCCAGCGCATCGTGCTCCACATGCTGGCCCGGCACAGAGACGAGTGCTGCGGTGAGCAGACCCGGCTCCAGAAAGGTGAGCAGGGGTGGCAAGGAATGTAAGCTCTCAGCAGGACAGGTGACATGTGTGATGACAGATACACGTATCTCAAATTCATATGGCTACTCTGGACCACGTACTTAAGAGTGGCCTTCTTGTGTGTCTGCTGTGGTCTCTAAATGACTGGTCCAGGGACACCAAGACGCCAGGAGCTGTGGGCCTGGGAGCTACACAGATGAGTGCAGAGGCAGTGGGGGTCCGACAAAATGGGAGGCTTCCTTGGAACCCCTCAAGCACAATTCCAGCCTGGCAGAGACCCACCTGCATCCTTTTACAGATGAGAAACCTATGCATAGAATGAAACAGGGGCTTGCTAGAGGCAGAAACCAGACAGGACATCCAAGTTCCCTGACACCAAATCAGGAGGTTTCACCACCATCAGCAGCGGACAGAAGGGATCTAGTTGTAACTCCTGACCTTTGAGCCTATGTGTTGGCCGCCTGGTAGCACTGTGTGTTGTCTTGACCTGGTTACCTCTTCATGAGATGCGTTTACGGAGGACAGCAGTGTGACAGATCTTGTGTTCACTGGTTGTTTTAGTAACACAGTAACACGTAGAGAGAGCCTAAAATCCTTTGGATGGTAAGTCTCTCCTGGTAAACGATTTTATTAAAATCGGCACATGAAAAACTGGAGTGCTTGAGATGTGTGCACATTTCCAGCATGGCTGGGCTTCAACACAGCCCACAAACGACTCTTCAGCACAACTTCACCAACACAACACAACTTCAACAAGACAACACAGCACAGCTTCAACACAGTCAACAAAGATGTGTGCAATAACTCCTCGTTTGATCACAGAGCTCAGAGACCGGTGAAATGAAAGAGCAGTCAGACTGGACGGGGCTGGCATCTGTGGTAACGGCTCCTTCTGTCTCCTTAGAAACCAGTCCTGCGCCAGGAAAATGTCTCTTCATCAGGGCTGTGTGCTGCCCCGAGTGTACTTTTGCAGCTTAAAGGAAATGATGTGGGTGATTCCTGCTGTGGGTGGCCTGTGTGGCCAAGGACCCTGGCAGTGCAGGACACTCACGGCAGACCAGGGACAGTTCATCATCAGGACTGCAGGCCATGTACGTGGTTGTGGGACAGTCGGGCTAGCCATTGTCAAGGGCAATCATTTGTGCTGTTGTTTCCATGCTTTTTCAGGGAAGAGAATTCCAGCTCCTGAAAGCAACATCGGCTGTCATTATTGCAACCAAATGATCCCAGGAAATAAGTATTTCCACCATGTGGTGAGTAGAAATTAGTTATTTTCTAATGGTGCCAATAGCTAGTCCATATTCCAAAAAGAGTGATATGAAAGGTAGATTCTGGGTCCAATTTTACACAGCATGGATAACAGAGGTTCCCATATTTAGTTTTGCTTTGTTCAAAAAGGGATGTTGTGAATTGGTGTAGGCTAATTTAGCACACATAATTGGTCTCCCATTGTGCCAGCCCTTCAAGGAGCCTCCCTGACCAGTCCAGCTATCGTTGATCACCTCCAAACATCTTCAGCCTTCAGGGCCTGGCCATGGCAATTTGGTCCTTAATAGGACCTGCCTTATTATTTTCTGTCCCATGCGGGAGTCTTCTCAATTAGACTGTGAGCTCCCTCGAAAAAGTTAACAACTTTCTCCATCTTCCCACAGTGAAACTGGTATCAGGGCTAGGTACCAAAAGGGGGACTCTGTAAAGATGTCACGATGTGATTGATTGATTGATTGCTTTTGCCTGGGAACATTCACAGACTCCTCCCTCCACCACCCTGAGCACGTTTTAGTGCATTAGCCTGTGCCAAGCTGCTCCCTTCTTTTGCAGGATGGAGCATTTTATTTCTGGGGAAACTTCCTAAGGCTTCTCTCCAAAGAACTCATTTCCTTCTGCTTCGATGGAGCGCTGTTTGTCCTTTCTTTACCCTTCAATTCAGAGAAATATGAATATCAGAACTTAAGAGACCCTAGGGATGATCTAGACCTTTTTGTTTATTGTGGGACAATACATATAAAATTTACCATTAGTGACATTTAGTGCATTTTAATAGGAATACTTGACTTAATAAAGTCTAAATTAATCATATTCCCTACCCTCCTTACAAACAATATATGGATTTGAGAACATGTTGACTCCGATTCTCTATTCCCACCTTATATGTAAATGCTATGGAATTTAGTTTCACCTTTTTTTTTTTTTTTTTTTTTTTTGCGGTACGCGGGCCTCTCACTGCTGTGGCCTCTCCCGCTGCAGAGCACAGGCTCCGGACATGCAGGCCCAGCAGCCATGGCCCACAGGCCCAGCCGCTCCGTGGCATGTGGGACCCTCCCGGACCGGGGCACGAACCCGTGTCCCCTGCATCGGCAGGCGGACTCTCAACCACTGCGCCACCAGGGAAGCCCCTCACCTTGTTTTCATACTATCCCTCTTTAGTCATTATTATCGCTGTCATTTTATGCAATTCATGCCTGCTTGGATATACTCACACATTCACGTTTCTCTTTGCTTACGTTCTTTCTTAAATCCCAAGCTTTCCGTCTGGGTAGGATTTCTCCCTTCCTGAAATACACGTCTAGGTAGTTCCCTCAGCAAGAAGCTGTGAGGAGTAAATTTTTAGTTGCCTGCACAGGTACTTTTCTCCTGCATTATTGAATGGTAGTTTAACTGGGTATCCGATTCTACGTTAACCATAATTTTCTCTTAGCGTTTTGAAGTTTATTCCACCGTCTTCCCACCTCCATGATTGCTGTTGATAAGTCTGCTCTCAGTGTAACTGCCGTTCCTTTGTGGGTAACCCTTTTTCTTTGGTTGATTTCAAGATCCTCTTTGCCTTTGATCTTCCTGGTTTCACTGCAGTGCGTCCAAGAGAAGACTTATTTTTATTCATCCTGCTTAAAACAATATGCTCAAGTGTGTTTATTTTTTTCTTTCTTCTTCAGAATTGCTCCCGCCCAAATCTAAAGATTTAGTTCTGCCTTAATCAGTTCTGGAAAGCCTCAGCTATAATCTCTTGGAATCCCCAATATTCCCTAACCCCTCCATGTTCTCCCAACTCTTTCTGTGGAACATATTAGATGTACATCAGGCCTTCTCATTCTATCCTCGTGTCCCTTAACCTTTCACATTTTCTATTCCTCTCTCCTATATTCTGAATAATTTCCTCAAATCCTATTTTCAAGTCCATTCTTTCTTGGCCAAATCTAACTTGCTATTTTTAAGCCTATCCATTGAGGTTCAGTGTCTGTATTTTTCATTTCGAGAAGTTCTGTTTATCTCTCTTTCAAATTCACCTACTCTTTTTTTCATAGGGTCGTATTCTTTTCTCTTGTTTGAATCATTTTTAATTAATTTATTTTACAGTCTCTCTCCTATAGTTCTGTTATCTGAACTCGTTGGAGACTAATCCTGCTAATGGTTGTGTCTGTGACTCTTACCCAAGGTAGAGTGTTTCCTTGTGTGTAAATTTGAATCGTGAGCTTCTATTTGGTGAGACTCTATCTGTGAGAATCCTGTATGACCTAGTTTGGGATTATGTAACCTCCAGAGGGATTTTGTGATTGCCTCTGCCATACATCCCAAATTTTACATTAATTCTTCTGCTTGGGTATTCCCAGAGCATGAGGATTTTGTAAATCTGAACCCCAAATACAAGAATGGCATGAGCCTTGGATTTTGAGTTTTCAGGAGTGTCAGTTTTGCTTCCGCACCCTCAATTTCTAGTCCAAGGTAGACAAGCTCTCTTGCCACTTTCCTTTTCCAATTAGCCGATTCTTTTCTCTTAGCCACCACAGGTTAGCCTTCAAGGTTCCCAGCTTTACGCAGGGAAAGGGGAATCTTACTTCCAATTCCACATCTTGTGTGGATGGGACTCTTCTCTTATCCAAGCTCTTAGATACGAGATTGACCCCACATCTCCTCCTAAAGTGTCAGCTCATGTGCTTAACAGGTCAGGTCTTCATTCCTGGAACATGGAGCTTGCTTGCTTTCTTGCAAAGTCAGCTCAGTGAATGTCATATTTTATCCAGCATTTCAGAGTGGGAATATTTCAGGTTATCTTGCCTATTGTATTGTCCACCATTAAAGCTGAGGTCATTTTAAAATTTGAAGTATGACTCATAATTGCAGGACAGATGCCGTCCAGTCTCAGACTCTGTGACATATTCTCCAGTTGGGAAACCAGATATTCCTCCTTCATCCCTTTCAAGTCAGGCTGCTAAAGATCAAACTTCCACAGCAGAGAAAGACGTCCGTCCAAAGACGAAAAATACAAGCAGATTTCCCCTTCTTTCTGAAAAGTCAACGCGGCAAGCACCAAGAGGCACAAGCAAAACCACGGATCTGCCTTTGAAGTCTGATGGCAAGCTCAGGGCCTCCTCTCCTGTAGAAGACGAGACAGCCTATGACATTCTGAGGAGGTGTTCTCAGTGTGGCATCCTACTTCCCCTGCCAACCCTAACCCAACATCAGGTACCCAGCCTCCATTCTCTCCTCATCTGGCTGGGAGCCATCTGGACAGTGTTTAAAGAAATCCAAGACCTGCAGGATATTCTCAGACATCTTTATCTCCCCTTTCTCTGTGTGTCCAAATCCATTCTCATAGCACCTGTCACCTGGTTATATATGTGCATCATCTCCCACCTCTGAAGGCAGAGCTAGATCTTTCATCTCTGTATCTCCAGTTCCCAGCCCAGGGAATAACCACAGCAAATGCCCCCAAACTGTGGAGCAAACAAACGAACAGAGCATACCCAATCTAGCTGTCTAGCTCATAGCGTAGATAAGGCAATCCAGGCCCAGAGATGAGAGCCTTGGTCAAGATACTAAGTCAGTTGGTATCTTACCTCCAGCAGATCAGGACTTGCAGCCTCAAAAGCCTGATTTTTTACATCCTAGATTATTTTCCAATAGTAACAAGAATTAGTATGAGGTCGTTAACCATTATGCACCAGTTACAATACAAAGCTCTTTACAAATGGTTAATCATTATAAAAAACATGCAGGTAGTTTATCCCTATCTTACAGATAAGGAAACCAGACAGAAAGGTCGAGTAGCTTCCCCAGGATTATACAGCTAGAGAGTGGCAGAATCCAGCCTAAAATACATGTGTGTATAGTTCCGAAGCTTATGCTTTTAAGCCCCAAACAGGATGCCTCACTCAAAAAAAAAAAAAAAAAGCTTTCATTATTTGATGTTTTTCAAAATACAAAAGTACTAGATACTACTAAATACTATATTTTGTTGTAACCAGTTGACATGATACCATACAAACAAATATAAAGATAAAGCTCATCCTCCCCCACACCCACCCCACTTCCCCAGTCCCACACCCCAAGATACTAGTTTCAGTATCCTGGTGGGTGTCCTTCCAAAGCTTTAACTCTGTTCACACAAACATGAACAAGCCTCTATGGGGTTTGAATTGTTTTTTCTTTTCCCCTATATATCATCTTCCTATATTCATTACTCTGCCATTTGCCTTTTTCACTGAATATATGATGCACGCTCCTTACAAAAAAGTAGACCTAGATCTTGTTTTTTCTAACTTCTTCTCTATATGCACACAGCACATGATTTTACAAAACTCAGTGAATTTCATACTTGCTGGGGGTGTTATTAGTGCCATATTTCCTTGCCTCCCACAATTTGAAATTTCCTTCCATACTTCCCTCCATCCTTACATAATAGGGTCGCCGAATTTAGCAAATAAAAATTCATTACTTGGGACAAAAATAACTACAAAATAATTGCATGAGACATACAAAAAAAAATTCTTTGTTTCTCTGAAATGAAAATTTAACTGGACATCTTGTATTTTATCTGGCAACTCTGTTGTATAACTGCTCACACACATACACATTTGGAGTCCAATTATACACATTTCTTTACATGTTAATGTTATGATTCATCAATACCCAAGGACATCCCTCCAAGTCAAAGGATGTTGCCCCCCCCCTTTTTAATGGCATAAGAGTCCATGGTGTGGGTATCCTCTAAACTGTTCATCCACCCCCCTCATGGTGATAGGCCTCTATTAAACATTGTCCCAAGCCTCCCATAGACCCCTCATGGCTCACTGAGCTCCATACAATTTCTATGCCATCTGTAGCTCAGGGTTCCTGCTCCGGGAACTGGGGATAGGATTGCCCAGAGATATCCTAGGAACTAACACTCCCCACTTTAAACACACTGAACTTTTTTAATATCCATTTCTTTAGGAGAAATGCTGGTGGTTAGCTTCATCAAAAGGAAAACAAGTGAGAAGTTCCAGCTAGCTTTGGAAAAGAAAAGGTACAACAGATTTAGAAGATTTTGTTTTTACACTGGTTTTTCTGCTTGCTTTCTGTGCTAGTCTTTACTTGTGAAAAGAGATGGGCTTTATTCACTGGGTTTCTTTCTTGTAGAAGAAAAGGTTTGGATTCTGTTTTCCTCCTTTTGAGCCGAGATGTTGGTTTCCCCGAGAGGTACAGATAAACCAGAAGAAAAAAGGGCTCTGACTCTTCTGCCTGAGAATTCTGATCAAGCATCTAGGCTCCACACAGCCTGGACACCTTAGGGAACCCAGGTGTTTTATTCTTGTCGAAGAATAAAAAAGCCCTCCCTGAAAACTTGTCCTCCACCTTTTTGTAGATTTTTCATTGGTTTTCCAGGGCCACGGATGGCAGCGGCTAGCACGGCAAGGAAAGGGGAGTGGCAGCAAAGAAGAAAGGGAGAAAGGAAGAGAAAAATGAGGCTGGGTGGCAGGGGAGAGCCAGAAAGCACAAAGACGTGCTAGTGAGGGCTGTTGGCAGGGAGACCAGCTGGGAGACACCTAGAGATGCAGCCCACCTCCCAGCAAACAGCACACCCTACCTTTCTGCCTGGCCCGTGGGGAGACCCCAGACCCCACCAGGGAAGGGAGGGCCCAGGACACCCCACCCTACCGAAACTGGAAAAGTGGGGCATTTCTCAAGCTTTGTCAAGTTGTCAAAGTCAGGTTTGCTTAAGACTTTCCTTGGGTCGGCAGCGACAGTGGTTTCCCGAAGAGAGGCCCCGCACGCTGGGTCCCCGGGACTGGACAGGACCCCGAGGATGGGTCAGGACAGGAAAGGTGGCGACTGCGCGGGCCTGCGCCCCAGGTGTGGGGGCAGAACCTCTTCTTCGCATGAGGAGGGACGGGCAGGGGTCGCGGGGCCCAGCCTCCCGCCTCTGGCCCCCCGGCCAGGGCGCCTTCCCGGGCCACCTGCGCGGGGACCCGTCTTGCCCGCACGCGCACGATCGGTTGAGCTGGCAGCCCCAGGTTTGGGCCCCGCGGCCGCGGGCTTGAGCAGAGCCCGGCAAGTGGGGGCGCGTCACAAAGGCGGCCGGCCCCTCGGCCTCTAGCCTCTGCGGGGCCGGGCGCGGAGCCCACCGCCGGTGGCGGCGGAGCCAAGGCGGCGCGGGCGCAGCAGGCCGGCGCTCGCGGTCCCAGCAGCCCGAGCAGCGAGCGGCGGGTAAGGCGACGCGAACGGGCACAGGCCGGGGACGCCCTGAGGCCAGCGCGGGGGTGCGGGGCTGCCCTCCTCACCTGCCGCCCCCGCGAGGCTCCTGGGCCACCTCCCCTCCCCGGGTGATTGGACACCCAGGTTTCCTCCCAGGCTTGGCAGCTGTGTGACGTGGTAAACCCAGCCTATGTTCCAGCGTCCTTAGGCTGGATTGGAATCCCGCTCACCACCTAGTACGCCATCTCACCGGGACACTTTCCTAACCTCCCATTTGTAAATACCTTCCCTACAGGGATGTTTTGGAAGCACCCTGCCACCCACTTTCTGATGGCAGCAAGCACTTGTATAACATTTACTGTGTGCCAGGCACTGTTCTGGTGCTTTCCGTATATCAGCCCGTTTAATCCTCCCAACGCTAGGAGAAAGGTACTATTATTACCCATATTTACAGATGTGGAGACTGAGGCATAAATAAATTAATTAACTTGCCTAAGGTCACATACCGCAGCTGACAGAACCAGGATCCAACCCACTAAGCTACGAGAGGGGAGGTTCCAGGCGGTGACATGACTTTTGGACCACTTGCAACACCTTTTCCAGCCCACCAAAGATGCTCTTCCAATCCCCCTGCCCCCCATGGCTTAAAGTGTTGTATAATTCTTCAGACCCTGTGACCTTGCTGGGTCAAAGGGCTTCGATTAGCTTTCTAACTGGTTTAGCTTTTTTCTTTTTTCTTTTCTTTTCTTTTCTTTTCTTTTCCCTTGACCACTCTGGGAGGCTTGTGGGATCTTAGTTCCCTGAACAGGGATCTAACTGGTGCCCCCTGCAGTGGAAGTGAGGAGTCCTAACCACTGGACCGCCAGGGAATTCCCTGGTTTAGCTTCTCTTGAGCATCTCTTAGGTGCCTTGCTCCTTACTAAGTGCCGTGGAGTCCCCTAGCCCCGGGCAGTTTATATGTGATTGAAGACACAATCTTATTTCTTCATTAGTTAAATGTTTAAGAACTTCCTCAAAAGAAGAATGAGGCTGTCCCTAGTCTCAAGGAGTGTGTGGGCTTCTGGGAGAGAAAGGCTTAGATTATACTAAGATTATACTAAGGATGGACACAGAGAGAGAGGGGAAAGAGAAGGGGAGCCGGCTGACCCCACTGGAGCCCTGTGTCCTGGGTGGGGGCAGGCTGCTACCAGTTCCCGTGTGGAAGTCTATCTGGGTGGGAGATGGGAGGGCCGGCTGGAGGCAGGGGCCAAACTGTTCTGTAGGTGATCATGGGGTAGGGAGGACAGAGGCACGGGGGAAGACCCCCAAATAGGTCCCCTACGGGAGCTTGCTTGAGGATGCTCATCGCCACTGTGCTGTTGGGGGGAGCTGGAAGAGGCCTGGGGGTCCATCACAGGGAGAGTGGGTAAGAGAGAGAAGGGGATACCCACCGCTGGGTCTATTCAGATGACAGATGCCGTATGAGACGTACACAGGGCAACGTGAATGATGCTTACGGACGCTGAACACACATTTGGCAAGCGTGCACACAACCAAAAAGCAGTGCATCAAACACGCTGGAATAGTTGCCTGTGGTGGGGAGCAACGGAGTGGGACATAGAATTAAAAGGGAATAAATGAATAAATAGAATCAAAGAGAGGTCTTGCACAGACAAGTGTCTGTCCTGAACTGAAAATTATGATTAACTTGTCCCTCTGAACCCAAGGCCTGAAAAGTGGACGTAGGAAAAAAGTGTAAGAGAAAGAGTAAGAAAGCCCAGGTCTAGCCTGAGTCTTGTTACTAACTTGCTGTGTGACCATAGGCAAGCCCCTTCACCTCTCTGTGCCTAGTTTCCACGGGTTAAAAAAAAAAAAAAAATCAATTCTCAGATCTCTTCCAGCTCTGAGTTTTTGTGAACCACAATGAATGATCTTGGGTTACCTGGTAAAGAAGCCAATAAAAGCTTTATGGAGTGGTAGGGCTTGAACTTTAAAAATGGGGGGTTTGGGAGACATAAAGAAAAGGAGGGTAGTTCTCAGGCAGGGGAAACATTGAAAGCAAAGCCATGAAGATTACAGCAGATGGCTATGAAAAGTCTGACCGAGGGCTCAGTGTATCTGGTGGGGCCTTAGCCCAGTTCTTCCCCTGGGACCCCCTAGCCTGGCTGGGGATACCACCTGCAATCCAACAGCCAAGTCAGAGACCTTTCAGTCCTCCCAGTTCAGGTGTTCACCAGTTACCAAATCATGTCTGCCAAAGAACTCACTACCCACCCCGATTCCCACTATAATGCCACCCTAGTCCCAGGCTTCAAGCCTGGCCTCTACTATGGACCATCCTTCCTCCATTCCCCCAGAGTATTCTTTCTTTACCTCAAGACTGACCACGTCACTTCTGGGCGTGTGATCCTTCGACCTGCCCTGACCTCAGCTGAGGTTCTCCACCTTTGTTCTGCTGCTGCACCTTTTGAATATAAACACAGCCATCAGCAATGTTGCTCAACACAGACACTGATTCTCATCCAGAGAAGATGTCAAAATTCCAAAGTCTTAGGGAGAGGGGACAGTGAGAATCCCTGGCTGTAGGACACAGCCTTTATCACATCATTCAGAACATCTTGAATGATGCCCTTGAACCAGCACTTCCCACTGCTCCAGCTCCAGTTCCATCGCTCCCTGACCCTCACAAGTTAAGCTCCAGGCAATTTTTAGTTCCGTGAATGTGAACACATCACGCATACTCACAGTTCTGTGGCTTTGCCCATCTTGTTCCCTCTGCCTGGAATATACCAGTTCCTCCACCACCAACCTGTCTGCCTTGCAAATCGTACTCACCCTGCAAAACCCAGCTCAGATGCCACCTCCTCTGAGCAGCCCTCTCTACTACTTCTTACACAGACAGAACTAATACCCCCGTTTGTGCCACCCTGCACCATGAATATGCCTGAGGATTTTCATGTCTCCCACAGTGCTGTCATTGAGTCCTGGTCTATGTCCCTGATAGACCCCTGATAGGCTGTGACTCCTTGCAGGTGTGCACAGTGTGGTGGATTTATCATTGCACCCACTGCACCAGCCCAGTACTTACACATGGGGCCATAGTGCAAGTTTGTTCCATTGGGTTTAATATGTGTTTGGCAGGTAATGGTTCTTCCTTTTTACTCCCCACAGAAAACAAGTGATTGCTTTTCTTTCCTCATTTTTGGAAGCCCTGCCTACCACACAGCTGCAGTGGACATCCCGGTTGCTTGATGGACGAAGAAGGCCAACTGATCCAGCCTCAAGACCAAAGCTGCTGGGCCACCCTGCCCGATGTGTGCCTACATCGTATTTTCTGGTGGCTGGGAGACAAGGACAGGTCCAGAGCAGCCCTTGTCTGCAGAAGGTGGAACCAGATGATGTATTCGGCCGACCTCTGGCGACACAGGGCCATCACGTTTAGTGGGAGACATTCCAGGGTACACGCGTACGAATTTGAGTCGGCTGTTTGGTATGTTAAGAAATTTGGTCGTTATCTGGAGCACCTGGAGATCAAATTCCTGACTCCTTACAGCGTTGTCCTGACCAGGAAGTTCCAGGTCACCATGCAAGGCCTTTTCTCGTGTCTGGGCAAGAGAAACAACCGTCTGAAATCCCTCTCCATCCAGTACCTGGAACTGGACCGCCTGGTCTGGAGGAACAGCATCAGAAGCTTGTTCTTGAAAAGCTTGAGCTCCTTCTTGAAGAAAATGGGCAAACACCTGGATCATCTCAACCTAAAAGGGGCTAGGCTCACCGTGGAGCAGGGCTGCCACATCCTCAACTCCCTGAGCTACTTAAGGACAGAGAGTGCGGTGTCAGAGCTCAACATCGAGGACTACTTCAGCCACCGCCTCGCTGTCTACAGCAGCCTCCAGTTCAACCAGACCATGGCCACGTTCCGCAACCTGGTGTCCCTGACCCTCAACTACAACTGCATCTCCGATGAGCTGCTGGAGAACTTGGGTGAGAACAATGCCGGCACCCTCTGGAGCATGAACATCAAGTGCCACGCTCATGACCCCCACGGGCAGGTCGTCTGGGGCATGTCCTGGGCCAAGCTGGCCAGGTACGCCACCAAGCTGAAAGTCAACTTCGTCTTTGAGAAAGTCGTGAAGTATGAGCGCTTGGCCCGGATCCTCCTACAGGAGATCCCGATCAGGAGCATCAGTCTGAGAAACTGCTCTTTCAGCAACCCCGACTGGTCCATGAAGCCCACTCTGACGGATCTCCTGCCCACCTTCCGACACACTCTGCAGGTAGGTATGAGCTGAGGGCTGGGAGGCTTGTGAGGAGTGGCTGCCCCTCAGGTTCCTGCTACCTGCTCTTGGCTGGGCTTGCACACACTCACTCAAGGTCAAATTGAGGTTCCGGGAAACGTCACCAAACTAAGTCTCCCCCGGTCCCCAAGACCGCGGCAGAGGACAAAAGCTACTGCTCACTTCCTAGACGTGGAACCAATTCCTGATTGTCTGTCAACCAAGGAGAGCTCCTATATCCCTGGCTCAGAGCTGTGGGGCCTGAGCACGCAGGTGCCTCTACAGGTGAGAAGCAGGTCAGCAGCTTCTTCTACTTCTCCACCCAGTCACAGCAGCACACAGGACCCGGTGTGTCTCCAAACCAGACAAAAAGCCAAATTTGACCCAAGTTACAGAAGAGCTCAGAGGTGTGGGAAGCTCCCCATCTATAAAATCGGGATCATTTTGTCCCCCCCCACCGAAGACCTCTCACAGAAGGCTGTGAGGATTGATACTCAAGCATATAAGTACCACTACTAACAGTGAGGGATGACAAAGTGCTAAGAGCTCATTTACGCTCACACAGCCCTGAAGTGGGCAGGCAGACATCATAGCCATTCGGTGCTGCCCATGGCCACCTGGCTAGTCCATCGCAGGGCCAGGACCACCACTTTAGTCTCCAGACTCCAGATACGTTGCCTTGAAACTCCAAGTCTCATAAATTTGGATGAGATCACTTTCATTCCCAAATCCCTTCTTCCGACAACTGCTTGTCCAGTGCCCCTTATCTAAAGCACTTGAACCACCATGGGCTACCAGGCCAAAGCCAGGTCATGAAAGTGTTATGAAATGATCCAACCAGTCCCAGCATCTCTGTCCACATCCGTCTTCCCCTTTGGTGCTTTTCCAGAAACTAAGTTTTGAGTTCAACAACAACCATGAGTCTCTGGAGGAGGAGCTGCACCTCCTCATCTTATCCTGCACGGAGTTGTTTTACTTCAACATCTGGGCTTTCCTTGATGTTAACTTTGTGGAGCAGATCCTGAAGAGTCAGGAAGAAGGGCGGTGTGCCCTGCGCACACTCAAGGTAAGAGCCCGCCCGGGGGGGGTTCCACGGGGATCGGGCAAGGGCATCCAGGCCCCTGGGCGGGTAGGCGTCCAGCCCCAGCGTTCCTGCTCTGGGATGAAGGTCAGGAGTGAGGCAGGGCATGGGGGGTGGATGTCTCACAAGTCCGTCCATTGGAAGTTAACAATTTCACGGAAGGAAATCTGGAGCTTTCATCCTTAGTTGGGCTTGGGCTTTTCCTGGTTCTGCCAACAATTGTACGTGTACATCATTCAGATTGTCTTTGGGGTCTGGGTGATGTAGCCACTGTGTGTGTGTGTGTGTGTGTGTGTGTGTGTGTGTGTGTGCATGCGCACACGCGGGGGTGTTTGTCTATCGGCACAGGTGAGAATTTATACAAACAGATATGAGACGCCTGAAGAGGACAGGACACTGCGGCATATTTACAGGAAGTACAGAAAGCTGATCGATTCAGAGTTTAACTATTTTTCCGTCGCTTACTGCATGACGTAAGGAGCGCTCTCCAGAGGAAGAAAGCCAAGAGCACTTTGAACTTGACAATCTGAGCCTCACAGAATGACACTTTGGGCATCCCTTACCCCCAGCCCTCTTTCTCCTCTCTCTCCTCTTTGCTATTTTCACACCAACATGACACCCCAGCAATGGCTGGGACTTCTGGTCATGTGAAGACCCCAGGTGACTTTAAAGTGCTATCTTTACCAACTATCTGGGTGTGATTTCTTTTTTTTGTCATTTGGTTTTGCTTTTTGACCCTCACTCAGCCACAGAACTGAAAGCCCAAAGTCGCTTGGAGCAGTGTCTTACTCGGGGACCCTGACTTTTGCTAATCTCCCTCCGGAAAAGGTGTAAGTAGTCAGCGAGCAAATGGAGCTGCATTTTCCACTGACTGTCAGTATCAGTTCAGAAACACTTTCTATCCTGGCTGACCTTCACATGAGAGCCTTCTGCCACTGACGCTGGCCAGGCCTGATCTCAGATGAAAGAAATTCACCAGCACATCCTAGAGTGAAGCAGGGAAATTCCCTCGTTTAGAAGGAGCCTGCTCAGAGCGGGAACTCCCTCCCACAGGAGATCAGCCCCTAATTTATCAGTGTTGTGGACTCGGGTCTCCCGCATCTGCTTTTCTGGGGTCTCCTTTATTCCCCATCCAGGCAGCATGGCGCCCAGCCTGCTACAAACGTTCAGTTCTCATGTGGGGCTGAACCAGAAGTGGCCTTTACACTCATATTCACAAAGAATCTGTAATGTCCTGGAGAACTATTCCTAATGTGATGTTAAGTGGAACTGTGTTTAGCGTGATACCGATCATGTAAAAACACAAACACAGGTTTGTGGGGTTTTTTGCAGTACGTGGGCCTCCCACTGTTGTGGCCTCTCCCATTGCGGAGCACAGGCTCTGGACGCGCAGACCCAGCGGCCATGGCTCACAGGCCCAGCCGCTCCGCGGCATGTGGGATCTTCCCGGACCGGGGCACGAACCCGCGTCCCTTGCATCGGCAGGCGGACTCTCAACCACTGGGCCACCAGGGAAGCCCTACAGGGTTTTTTTTAAGCATAGAAGAGATATACCAAAAATCTTAATAGTTATCTCTGGGTGGTGGGATTATGGGTGATTTTTATTTCCCTTTTCATGCTTTCCCCTATCTCTCAAATTTTCTACAAAGACCATGTGTTATTTTTATAGTCACAGGGAAATCTGATGGGTTTTAAACGGGGAATAAGGGTAAATTCCTGAGCCCATGCCATTGACATAGATTGCTTTTGGTCTTTTGAGATTTTTGTGCATATAGTTGCTTATGGGGGGGTTTCCAATAGATAAAAATGAATATATCTCAGAACATTTTGACAAGTGTCTCACTTGTGATTTTATCTTATCTTTTGTATATTGTGTCCATATTTATGCTTAGCTTTTCAGGTCTTTGTTCAAGTTCATATTTATCCAGTGCTTTTCAATTTTCACAGGATTTCCACATTCACTGTCATATCTGAATGTCCCTGCAATGCTGTTGGGTGCCTATGGTTCCTGTTTCATGAACATTCAGAAAAGATCAACACCGGCAAGTGGTGTGGAGTCCCTACCTTGTTACCAAACTCGGGTTCTGCTGCTTGTCACTCAAGAATCCAATACTGAGAGACAAGTGTTGGGTAAAAGGAAAGATAGCTTTGTTGAGGAAGCCAGCAATCCTGGGGAGAAGGTGGACTCATGTCCAGTGGAGAACCACTGGACATGTGGAGAACCAACCAATGTCAGTGGAGAACCAACTCCCCACTGTTGATCGGGGGCAAGAGCTTTTAAAGGGGAGTTTTAGGGGTGCACAGGTGGGTGGGGGGCTATGTGCAGAAGAGCACAGCCAGCTCCAACAGTCACCTTGAACTTGGTCATTGGTGGTCTGATCAGCCTCATCTTGATTGTTTTAAGTGCAGTTAATCTTCAGTTCCAGGGTCGCTTTGTTCCCATTTCCTTGAGGCCAGGTCTTGGAATTGTGCAAGATGGAGCAGCTCATGTCACGGCCACAGTCTGGTCATCATGTAGGTAACTTCTTCCACCTGGTGGAGGTTTCAGTATCTGTAAAACAGCTCAAAGGATATGGCTCAGAATATTATCTGTAGCCCTTGAGGAGGAGCTAAATGTCCTTGACTTTCCTTAATGGTTAAACTATGATTATTTTGTCTTCTTTGACTGTTTGCATTTCTTTCTGCATTTTCTTGTCTGATTAAATTTATTCTTTGGCTAAAGTTTTTCTACAGACAAGAGGTGGCAGAGGGTAAGGGGTATCTGTCCCAGAAAGGCCCCATAGAGTCCTGCTTGGTTATAATCTAAGGAGAGCTCCCAGGTCTTAGTTGCTGAAACCAGAAGGGCCCTTGGGAGCCATCTAGTGCCTGTGGACCAGAGATGAGGCAGCTTGCTTTAGGGGAGAGGGAAGGCTCAGCTGGAGTGCAGACCACCTGGGAGACTGACTGATTGATTGATTGGTGTAATGATTTATTCATGCTGTGGACCAGTTCTGGTTAGTTTCCTTTCGTCCCCAAACACAGGATCTAAGCATAGAGGACTCTTTTATGGAAAACATGTTAACAGAAGTAACATTTTTATGAACATGTTTTCCATAAAAGAGTGGATTTGTTTTCCAGTTTTGCAAATCTCTTGCACATCCCGCTTAATAGCAGACAGCTGGGTTCTCATCCGGGTTTCTGTGGTCTGTCATAACGTCAGACGCTGTGCGGGGAGCCTCCGCAAAACTCCAGAGAGAATTAAAGTGAAAAAGGCACGTAACGTCTTGCTATTAGTGGATCTCTTGAAAAAATGTCTCAAGGACCCTCAAAGATTCCCCTGACCACACAGAGAGCTACCGCACAGACCTTCCTGTTCCCCGAAGAATCGAAACAGCAACAAGCCCGGGAGAGTCCTAGTGGGAACGTGCAGAGCACACGAGGTTTCCGAACCCACGGATTTTTAACAGGTATCCACTTTTTAATTTACCGCATTCAGAGGCGCAGTGGTAGGTGGAGACACAGACCTGTGGCCTGGCTGGGTGACAGCTTATCCGCGCCTGTCCTCCAGTGCAGGGCAAGAGGCCGGAGGGCTGCTCCCACACGCCTCCCCCTGCTGGGAGTCCACAGAGAGCACGCGGTTCTTTGCAGAAACGCGCAGAAGAAACTGGCACGTCCTGTCTTGTATGGATGAGCAGGAAACACATTCTGACTCCCCAGTGCCTCCTCTCAGCTGTTGGCGGGGCTGATGAAGCCCCGGCCACCAAGTGACTGGGGTCAGCTCCTCAGAATTTACGAAAATAGGAGGAAAGTAAGGCTGTGATCAGACTAAGGTGTAAACAGTTACCCCAGGCAAACTGACAATGAAAGTGCAGTTTTTCGTTTTTGAAAAGACTCTCAGGGGCGGACCTCTGACTCTCTGGGCTGGAAGCGTTCTGAGACTTGGGTTCTTGGTCCACTTAGGCCACTAATTTGTGTGACCCTGCATAAGTTCTTTATCCTGCTCAGGTCTTAGTTTCTGCTATCTGTCAAATGGGAAAAGCTGAACAGTGTATCACTAAGGTCCCTGAAAGACTAATAATGCTGGGATGGGGTGTGTGACACTGAACCTGGTGTGAATGGCCACATTCCTCAGCCTGGGCTTCCAAGCCAGGCTGCCTGGGTTTGAGTCCTGAGCTGCCCCTCACTTGCTGTGTGCCCTTTGGCAAGTATTCCCTGTCCCTCCGAGTGTTAACAGCTCTGTTTGTGCATGGAAAAATAATAGCGCCTCCCACCCGGGTCTGCTGTGAGGGATCAATGATTTAATACATATAATACCACACATAAGCCTATCCCTTGGACGTTCAACAAATGTTGGCTTTTACCTTGTTTAATAAATGAGGAAACAGACTCAGCAAAGGAAGGTCACTTGCCCAAAGCCATACAGCCATTTCGTGGCAGAACCAATACTATGGTTTTCTGATTCAGAACCCAGAACTCTTTCTCCCAACCCTAAGGATAAAACGGGAAGAGCCCAGTTCCCCTCCCCGTCCCAGTCAGCCCATGCCAGACAGATAATTAACGTGATCACTGGTTGAGCATGTACTATGTGATAGGTATTAATTCACAGTTTCATTTCATCCTCACTACAGCTCTTGAAGGTAGAGACTGTTATATCCCTCTTTTAGAGAGAGAAGAAAACTGAGGCTTAGCAAGGTGAACCTGCCCAAGGTCACACGCTTAGGAAGCTTTGGAAGTGAGCCTCAAACCCAACCCAACTCCAAAGCCATTCTCTTACTTACCACGTATCGCCTCCCACAGCAAAAAGATTTGGAGTCAATCATACTGTAATTCCATTTAGCACAGGAGCGTGTGGAGGAGAGGATCAATGAAAACTTTTGTTTTACTGTGTTTAGCTTAGAAATGCTGCCGGGTCCAACAGATCTCTTAAGAACCAAGTATTTGAGTAAAACAGAACAATATGAATTCATCGTTATGAGGTTTTTAGGATGGTGTCATTGTTTCAGAAAAAAACGTCACCAGCGGTAACTTGATAGAAACAATCTTTTATTAACACAAAATAGTCCGCTTCTTTGATGGATACTTACCCCTTTATACAAGTGACCCAAACAGCTATTCCAGAGAGGGGACCTACAGAAAATTTGATTTGCAGTTGGAGGCCACAGAATTGTATTAGTTCACTGGATGAATATCACACACAGAGATCTATCACACACAGAGATTGCCTGCCTTCCCTGGGTGGTGTTTAGAAAATTAATCTGATTCCTATTCCTCTACATTTGCAAAAGTACAGATTTTAAAAAACAGTCTAGACAGCCACACAGAAAATCTCAAATGCTCAGGTGGTGTGTAAGCCCCTTGAGAGCATACATTTTTGCTTTGTTCATTGTGTATCCTGCGTGCGTAGAACTGTGCCAGGCACAGCAGAGGCAGTCACCATTGAATGATTTAAAATAAGATCTTGTCGAGGTGTGAGTCCACCTTTGTTTACAGTAAATAATTGCTTTTTAAAATATTTATTTATTTGGTTGCACCGGTCTTAGTTGCGGCAGGCAAGCTCCTTAGTTGCGGCTTGCCGGCTCCTTAGTTGTGGTATGCAAACTCTTAGTTGTGGCATGCATGTGGGATCTAGTTCCCTGACCAGGGATCGAGCCCCGGCCCCCTGCATTGGGAGCATGGAGTCCCCTGCACCACCAGGGAAGTCCCTAAATAATTGTTTCAAAGTAAAATGTTTACAGATTTTAAAAATATTTCTTAAAACTTAATGTGCATAATGGGAAACTGAAAAACACAAGAAGCAAAAATAGTCACCCATAATCACAGTTTACAGTTTGACGTGTCCTTCTAGGTCCCATGTATGTATCTACACAACTAAACATCCATTTTTATGTAATTAAGATTGTATAGTTATGTACCATGCTTTTTCACACATCATGAAGATTCACTGTTTCAAAGACCCAAAGCTATTCAATATATGAGTATTTTGATAACCAAGAATACACTATACCAACTCAATCAAGAAGAAAAAAATGTAATCCTGCCTCTCTTGGCGACAAACATTTCATAAAAGACAAAATTGGCAACAGGCCTCTAGCTAAAGATATTGTCAGAGTTATGATTAAAATACTGCATTCCCTTAATGTTCAATTAAAAATGAGATATAGGGACTTCCCTGGTGGTGCTGTGGTTAAGACTCCATGCTTCTCCTGCCGGGGGCGCAGGTTCAATCCCTAGGTGGGGAACTAAGATCTCTGCGTGCCACGTGGCTTGGCGATCCTCCCCCCACCAAAAAAAATGAGAGATAAAGTAACAGAGTACACAAAGTATAATGCTTCTAAGAGAATTCATTATCCAACGTATACTATTAAAATATTAGCAAGGAGATGTGTTTCCATTGAATTACTCAGCAATGTATCTCTATAGTACAGCCGAAAGAGATACACACACATCAGTGGTCAGCCTCAAAATGTAAATATGAACACATCCACACACATCCCTCCCTCTCGAGCCAGCGCACAGCCACAGTGCGTACTGTTCAGAAAGGTGGTTTGGCCAATCCCTTCCCCCCTAAAATAACAATATTTCATATGAATCTTAACAAAAAGATACTTTCAAAATGTCTTTTTACTACCTCTACTTTTAACATATATCAGGCACTTCAGAACATCCACTAGATACTTCAGAAAAGTACTTAGCATTGTCAACTATTTATACAGCAGTGAGGGATAAATTGCACACACAGAACAATGGTTATGACATGGAAATGTCTCCCAAGTGTGACCAGTCTGGCACAGAAGCTTCTTTCCTTCCTCCTCAAGGTCTGCCACTCCATGTCCTCTAACCCACGTATGAGTGGGACGTACGTGGACCTGGATCACCCCGATGTCACCTCTAGAGGTCACCTCTAGAGGTGATTTAACTGTTCCATTTCAAAATGTCATTTCCAGAAGACATTTCTTCCCTATGACTTTTTAAAAAAACAAATGGGCATTTACAAGGTGTGCAATTTTCTTACTGTTATCCGTGGGCAACCTCTTTACATCTAGAAGACCTAGATGGGGCAAGTTTTCTTTTGAAAAGTGGTGCGGGTGGAGGGTGGTGAGTTGCGAGTATCTTTTTCGTATTATATAGACAGGCCTTCTATAAACAGCCAGTAACTCTAACCAAAAGGTGGTGCGCACTTCCCATTGGCCAAATATGGTCTGTTATTCTACCATTTCTATCTCCTGAGATCAAGGTCTGGTAGAAATGACAACCACTGCCCTTCAACCCCTCCTCACCCGGGGCTCTGCTCACCCATTAAGGCCTTTGTCAGATGTTGTCTGGTCCAGGTGAGGCACCCATTGTCGACCAGGGCTCCACTCACCTGACAGGCCCATTAAGGTGTCCAGACGAGGGGAGGTCTCGTCCAGTTGGGACAGAGTGGTCACCCCAGGTCCAGGATCTACACAGCTCCAAGGCCTGAGTGTGGTCAAGCTGTTGTCCAGGTACCACCTTCTCGGGCCCTCAGAGTTCTGACAGCCCCCGTGGGGTTCGAGTGGCCACTGTTCTCGCCCTGCCCCACCCAACTCCCAGAAGTGCCGCAGCTGGGTGGGGGCTTCACCTGAGCCCCCAGCTTTGGGCTGAGAGATCAGGCAGTCAGCAGGGTCTGGCTAGGAGATGGGGGCAGGCGAGAGGTCTGGGCCCAGCCGTGGGCAGCCCGTCCCTGGCCCTCAGGTTACCTGCTGGCCAAAGGCCCGAGGACCTGGTTGGAGGGCCCCACGGGAGAAGGCCATGATCCGCTTCTCACCACGCTCTCTGCCCAAACTCCAAAGTAAAATGTTTTGTTTTGCCCACCTTACTGAGTAATAAGGCAAATATGTCTTTTTTCTTTTTTAAGCCATCAATAAGAACACACATTTATGGCACCGATACAACTGTGCAATTATTTTAGTCAACTCTCTCGTGTACTTTTAGACCACAGGCTGGTAATATAAGGCCTTCTCAGTGCAACAGACCTTACAAATCACTTTACCAGCCCCTCTCACCACCACCCCAGTGTCCCCTCTTCACAGATGAGGAAAATAAGGCCTCGGGGGGCTGGGGGTCTCGCCTACCAGTCTTCAATACGTAACTACCAAAACTGGAAGCAAAAGCATGTCTAACCTCAAGGCCTTTGTGCTTTGTCGGCCACAACCATTCCTAGGGAATTTATCCAACCCCCTTCCCCTCTTCCCCAGGGGAAACCTTGTAAGTCACAGCCTAACTTTGTCACTCACCTATGTAACTGATGGCCTGC